GTTTGACTCCCAAATATTACTTAAAAAGAGTCATAATCAAACAACTAAGTGGTATAATTATTAAAACATCCCTTTGAAACCCACCCCATCTAAATATTTAAAGAACAAATCAAAAACTATTTTTATGACTTTTGTACAAAAATTAAGCATAAAATGTCTTCTTGTGGCATAAATTATATAACTTAATTTGTAATATTATTTAGACATAATTTATTTGTGCCATAAACAAACCGTTATGTAAAATGCACAACGGGGATGGCAGGAGTGTCGGTGTCTTGTTCGGCATAAACTCTGATTAGAGTCTCAAAGAGCTGGTTGTCTAAACTCATCAGCACCTCCGTTACACTAACGAAGGCAGCAATTAAATCATTTAATCAAGCATTTATTCATGCTGAAACTTGTTTACAGAAATATCAAACAAAACATTCATTACCGACTAAATACAGGCATCCAAGTCTCATCATGTTGATGGATCTGTATAAAACATATATTATTTAGATGTCAGTGGTCGTAAAGATATGCAAACAAAACACAGTTAAAAAACACAGACTGTTGGGAAAACAATAAAAACATCAAATGAAGAAGATTTGGGAATAAAACACAGAAATGGAAACAAATAATCTAAGATGTTTTATCTCGAGGTGAACCATAAGCTGGATAATGTCCTCGCGGCGTTGCCTGTGTTAGTACGCAAGATGGATGTCATCTCGGAGAGGGTCGCCGGACGGTGTGGGGATGTTTAGAACGTAAAATTGGCTTCACTGGTGGACATGAATGACCACTTATAGACTCCAAGGCAGAGAGGAAAATTATCTCTGCCTGCCCCAAACAAAGTCATGTTAATCCTTTATCTGACGCCAAGGCAGCCTCTCAAGGCTGCTTCAACACACCCCCACGAAAGGAGGAATGCTGACAGATGCTGTGTCCCGACCTTCCCCCCCTGCCTTCAGATTGTGACTTCTGCAGAGTCAGCGACCTGCGGGAAACTCAATGTGCTCTCTGTTCCTCATCTCTCCCTCCCACCTGTTGGTCTGCAGCTGGTTGATGCGCCGTACCGGCAGCTCCCATTGGAGGCTTCAGGATCCCGCCCAACCCCACCTCCCCATCAGACTCTGATGTTTTGTACCTGTGCTGTTTGTGCTTCTATGTTGAGGAGTTTTTTTTTTGTATAATAGAGTTACTCCCCGCGGGGTCTAACTCTGCTATGCCTTTTTTACCTACCCCCACTTATCCTCATGTAACACCCTTTTCATCTATCTATTAAGGTAGCGTGACTCATGTTGCGAATGACCGCAGTCACCAATTCTTGTCATGTGTCTTACCCACGTATGTCTGATCTCATTTCATTTCTCTGTATGTCCTGCACATGTGGTAGAAATGACAATAAAAATGACTGACTGTTGTGAAACAACCAGGAAATAAATAAATATTAAAAATTAAAATTAAATGATAAAAGTTTAGCTAAAAGAGAAGCAAACAATGAGTTAGATTTATATACTACCGGTTCTTTAGAAAAAGTGAAATAAATAAAAATACAACGTGTGTAAGTTAAGTTTTTACTTTAATGCAGATTCCTTTTACTTTTTAGATTTTGGATAAAAATGTTCTAAAACAACCAAAACGTCTAAGAAACTGTCGTTTGGCGCATAAACACAGATGGCTGCAAACATAGTTTGGATGGTTTTCACCGGAGAATCGGCTGACAGAAAACCGTCTACCTGAGACCTCAGAAGGGCTGAAATGTAAAAACAGGTGAGAGAAAAGGTGATTATTAAAGTTTCACGCTCCAGACGGACACCTTCAGCTCTCTGTGATAAAAGTTAATTAGCACGATTGTTAAAAGTGTGAGGAAGACTTTTTCAAATGATGGTGTAAAGATTTACAAAAGTTCAGAATTAATTAGTCATGTTTCTGTTTTTATACATTGAAACGGTGCTGATTTAACCTTTGAACTTGGTAGAAGGTATTTTACGCCCCGTTTCTTTGGAAACTGCTGGACTTAAGCCTTCATAGGGCCAGCATCTGTGTTTAGACACTTCCACTCACATCACCAATGACGTCAGTGTGTTTTCACACACTCGGAGTTACGGGTTTTCACCCAACCAATAATCAGAGATCAAGCAGGTCACAGTTTGAGCCATGGCGTCATTCGACCAGTCAGCGTGGGGGTATGACTCGCCAAGTATTGGTGTGTCTAAAAAACAGAAAACAGCCTTCCTGCAGCTTGATCTCCTCTCGTGTTTACAGTCGGACCTCTAAAAGGAACAATGCTAGGTTTATGAAACTCATCACACTAGTTGTGCCAAGTAAGGATGCACGTGTCGTAAATGTCAAACTCAATCACAGCATGAAGGTCAAAGCTGCCATATTTGATCATACTTGAACAAGTAAAATAAATGATGAATATTTGTAGTAAAATCTTTTTTTTTTCCAACATGATAGTCGTCATTTGCATGTTTTTACTGTGTGGGCGTCGGACGAGCCCCCGCACCGAGAGAACAAACATCTCAGCTCTAAAGCCGATCTTCATCCGCGTATGTCGCACGTCACGTGATCAGGAAGCAGAACATCCATGTGTTAGGAGATCGTTTTGGGCCGCTGCTGTAAAATAAGTGAGGAGCGAACCGGAAAAGCTTCTGCCGATCACGATTCAACAACGGATTATGAAAGAACGGATAACGCTCGAAACGCGCGGATTCTTCCTGATGTAAGAGGTGAGTCTCCGTTTTGTTTTGGTTGTTTTGGTGTCGACATCATCCTAGCGCGCAACGTTCTGTCACTCTTAAAAAAACAGTAAAAACGGTGAGAAACGCTGGCAGCGAATGAGTTAAAATTTAAATTTACATTTAAATTAAAATTACTATAAACAGTTCTAATTAACATAAAAATTACAATTAAAATTAACATAAAATTTATAATTAAAATTAATGTAAAAATTATAATTAAAATTAAAATTGTAACAGCAGAAAAATATTTCTGTTATCTACCACAATTACACCCGGGGGTTGAAATGTTAAATTTTAAACTTCTTCAGTGAGTTCCCTGTAACGGTCTAAAAGGATTAGGGTTACATTTTTTAACCCTCATTGCAAAAATAAATAAAAGCTAAACAAAAACAAACATCAGTTGTACGTTATAATCCCAGATAATCTCATCTCACCGCTGTGAAAATATTCTTTATTTATTCTAAACCAACTTGTTGACAACAAACACTTTTGTTGTTCTTATTTAAAGGTCAAACAGCACGTGTGGCATCTTTATGTCCTTATGTTTTACATATTGTTTCTATTGTTCTCAGTAACTCTAAGCCACACGTAGAAGACCGAATCACAGAGATTAGATTGAATTTTTACTCTTTTTCTTTTGCAAATATTCAGATTTTTGTTTGTCAGAAAATAAAAAAAGAAACTGTAAAATTCTGCAACGATCTCACTGAGATTTTATTGTTTCAGTGGTGAGCCAACACCCATTTTGTTCCAGATGGGAACTTTCAGATCGGATGTTCAGCCCTGCAGGGAAGTTTATTATGCTAGTGAGTCCTGAGCTCAGACCCGACCAGGTCAACATGCCGGCAGAACCACTTCTAAGAAAAATAACCTTTAGATGCAACATGCTGTTTCTGTAATGTTACAAAACTTTTGTCTTGAGCTGTTCTAAGATGCAAGGCAATTAAAACATGAAATCGCCTAAAATTACTGCATGGTGGCGCAGTGGTTAGCACTGTTGCCTCGCAGCACGAAGGTCGCAGGTTCGAAACTCGGCTGCGGCCTTTCTGCGTGGAGTTGCGTGTTCTCCCCATGCATGCGTGGGTTTCCTCCGGGTACTCCGGTTTCCCCCAAAGATCACAACATGCCCTATAGGTTATAAATTGTACGTCGCTTTGGGTAAAAGCGTCTGCTAAGCACATAAACATAAACATAAAATTACAAACGTCAGGGTAAAATTCTCCGGAAGTCTGGATTCATGGGTCGTTCCCTCTTATCGCTGGAAATGTAAACACAAATGCTGTTCAAGCTCAAGTCGATGAAGTGAAGGAAAAATGAAACAACCCAAGGAGGAGTCGGAGGCTGATTCGGGAATAATAAAGACGGGTGGGTTGCATCATATGTCCCACGTGTACCATCTCCTGATTATCACCTGTAAGTCACTTTGGACGAAAGCGTCTGCTAAATACATAAACATCAACCTTTTTGCAGAACGTCTTGAATCCAAATAAAGAAATGGGATTTTTGGTTTTTATCCCATTGCTGTTTGATATCATCGCTCTAGTTTCTATCTTAGGTACAAGCTGACTGGCTAAACCGTTCGGGATCCATAAAATTCATTTTGTAATTCACTTTGGATAAAGGTGTCTGCTAATTCAAAAAGCCTAATCTGGATTATTATTGTTCTAAATCTTGAATTTCAACTAAAATTCTATCTCTCCAGCAGTTACAACATTTGACACCAGTTCTGCTGGTGATGCAATAATCCGAGAACGGGAGCACAGATTATTGAGTGCTATCACCAGATTATCTGAGTGCAGGTGCAGTGAATAGGTAAATAGAAGATGGGCTCCTAGTGTGCAAGATCTGAGATGGTAGGAAATGGTTGGACGCACGCACGCACACACACACACACACACACACACACACACACACGCACACACGCACACGCACACGCACGCACACGCACACGCACAAACACACACACACACAACTTTGATTTGACATCTGAACTCAGTTTCATGCACATATTTAGATTTTATATTTTTGCAAGAATCCATTTAATCCGTTAGATTTGTTAATCCTGAGGAACCACATTTAGCTCCGAGATGAGGCAGATATTGTTTTCAGCTTTGAAATAATAAATCTTCAAACACAGGTTGGCATCGCTGTTTACAAGAGTCAGAAATCAGGAAAGGCAATGTGAGTGTGTGTGTGTGTGTGTGTGTGTGTGTGTGTGTGTGTGTGTGTGTGTGTGTGTGTGTGTGTGTGTGTGTGTGTGTGTGTTTATCTTACCTTCCAGTCGCCTGGTGGCATCAGCTGTTCACAGCATTCCTGCAGCAGAAATGTGGATAAAAGAATAAAAAGAAAAAACTTCAAAAAACAAGGAGAGTGATCTGAACTTTCATGTTCTGCACAGTAAAGGGAGCGGCCATTGTTGCAACCGAAAGACACTAGACTGACACACACACACGCACGCACGCCCACACACACATACACACACACACACGCACGCAGGCAAACAAGCACATACACACAAAAACGCATGCACACACACACAAATGCACGCACACACACACACACATACATACATACACACACACACACACAGACAGCACGGTTTCCCACAGGCACTTTAACATCATCTGCTGCCTTTGGAAATAAAAATTACTGGAAATTTCTGTGACAACCGCTGAATTGACTTCATGAAAGTCCTAATTTAAAGCCATAAATGAAAACCTCTGGTGTGAAAAGTAAACAAATAAAATTTTTGTTCTATTTCTAAATCTACTGACTTCTACTCATCACTGCTCCCATCTAAAAGCAGGTAAATGTTTTTTTTACCACAGAAGATTAAAGATTAACTATTTAATTCCAACCAGCTTTAAGAAAAAGTTTCCTAGCTAGTCTGCTGCATAAGTGGATTTATGGCAAGCTGTTGTATCACATAATGCAAACTTAGCAGTAGCCTGTAAGTATGGTTTAAACCCTGATGCAGAAGTTCAACACATTAAGGACCCATCTAACTGATAAGTTTGATGTGTTTTTGCACATCATTTATCTTTTATTTACAAATTTTATTTTGAATCAAGTTGTTTAAATTTACTTAAAGAGCAGAGAGAACCTTCTGAGGCCTGCAGAGCTTCATTGAAAAGACAGAATTATGAGCTTATTGTTTTTATTTTATAGTGATGTCATTAGCTGACATGGCCCACTCTTTTAATCTTTAAAGAGCAAGTCACCCCCTACCAGAATCTTACTCCACTCCCACTTCCTGTTTGAAAAAAAAAATGCATCAACTGCAGACCGAGAGGGCAGAGCCGCTAACAAATACACACACACACACACACACACACACACACACACAGGCTCACAACATTGTGACATCATCAAGTACCAGCTAGGGTACCTCTTAGCCAATAGCAATGGCAGATTTAAATTCAAATGCTGTGCAGAGTTTTTACCTAACAATGGCACAACACTGGCAGGTATAAGTAGCTGTTTTAAATTTTAAAGAGCAAGTCACCCTCAAATTAACTTTTTTTGTTGATAAATTATATAAATGAGTGTCTAATTGCTATGTAGGCTCTCCCCCGCTAAATATTCTGAAAGATGGCTTTGTTCTTGTTCACACCTTGACTTTGTTTTTACTCCTGATTTTGTTACTATTGTTGTCGCTGCTATTGTTTTTATGATGTTTTTATTGCTTTGAGGTATTTGCCCTGATTTTACTCATGTTGTACAGCGCTTTGTGATTTATATCTGTGAAAGGCGCCATATAAATAAACTTTACGTACTTAATTACTACTTACTATGTAGACACGTTCAGTCAATAATTTGGCACTTAAGTTAATCTTAGTTCAAATTTAAATAATCTGCCTAAAACTGTCAGCGATGCACCGTCGTCAGGCAAAAACTCAGCACTGCATTTGAATTTAAATCTGCCATCGCTATTGGCTAAGAGGTATACTATGATGTTAGATGGTACATTATGATGTCACAATGTTGTGAGTGTGTGTATTTGTTAGTGGCTCCACCCTCTCGGTCTGCTAGGCAACAGCATTTGTTGCGTTTTTCAAACAGGAAGTGGGAGTTGAGTAAGAATCTGGCAGGGGGTGACTTGCTCTTTAACTAAAATGCACTAAAGTGCTAAGTGCTGTTTAGCTCAAACATCTTATTTAAAAAAATACTTTTATTTAGTTTTTCCAGTTCAGTTCATGCTCCAAAAGGAACTAGAATATGGTTAAAGAGCAAGTCACCCCCTACCAGAGTATTACTCCACTCCCTCTTCCTGTTTGAAAAATGCAACAAATGCTGTTGCCTGGCAGACCGAGAGGGTGGAGCCGCTAACAAATACACACACACAGGCTCACAACGGCATTGTGACATCATAATGTACCAGCTAACATCATAGCATACTTCTTAGCCAATAGCAGTGGCAGATTTACATTCAAATACAGTGCTGAGTTTTTCCCTGACGACGGCGCAACACTGACAAACTTGGGCAGAATATTTAAATTTTAACTAAGATGCACTGAAGTGCCAAATTATTGAATACATGTGTCTACAGCACGATTAGACACTCGTTGTTATAATTTATCAGCAAAAAAAAGTTGATTTGGGGGTGACTTGCTCTTTAACCTGCCAGATTAGCCCCCCTAATACCACAAACATCAGCTTCATTATTAAGACCTTTAACATAAACTTTAGTCGTTTTAACACCAACTTGTTGCTTAGAAACCAAAACTGCTAACATAAGCGCTTTATGTGTGTTCACTAATCTGATAAAATACCTGTTTTCAACAAAAAGGTTGTCTCTCCATCACCAGTCAGCTAACTCGGATGGTAAATGAATATTTAAGACCAGATGTTTTGAATTTCCCTCGTTTTTAAAGCTCCAACATCAGACTCACAAAGACCCTTTGCTAAAGTGCACATGGGAAACTGCACGGAGCTCGATGATGAAACAACAAAAAAAGTGGGAGAGATGAAGAGTGATGTTTTAAAACAGAGCTGCAGCCAGATTCCCTCCACAGCAGGTCACCTCCAACCTGATCCGCATCAGCAAACAGAGACGGGCCAGGACAAACAGGCCAGGCGTTACAATAACATTTGTTGTGATCTGGCCTCCGTAGCGCAGGGACTCAGATTATATGTAATCTGATCATCTAAAAGATGTCAAACATACAGTTGTGCCAATCAGAGTGGCTCGGTGTCTTCTTCTGTAGGCGGACTCTAGAGCTGACTCTGTCTAAGGATAGATTTGCATTCATTACACCTTTTCTCTTCAGACGACGCTCGTATGCTCACAAAAGCATCCTGGAACATTTTAAACTATTTACATCTTTATTTTTACAACGCTAAACTTTTCATTTTATACTACTTGTTGCACTAATTGACCAAATTAGCTCAGAATGTTTTAAATTATTTAAAGAGCAAGTCACCCCCTACCAGAATATTACTCCGCTCCCACTTCCTGTTTGAAAAATGCAACAAATGCTGTTGCCTAGCAGACCGAGAGGGCGGAGCCGCCAACAAATACACACAACCGCTGTGTCTCAGTTCAGGGTCTGCACCCTTCGTTGGCCGGTTAGGTCACAGCGCCGCGACTAGGCCTGTCCCTATTCGAAGACTCCTTCAAATGCGGTCGACGAATCCGGCCTTCTTTTCGCCTGAATGAAGGATGGGTCCGGTGTATCCTTCAGTGGTTTACATTTCCCAAGATGCCTTGCCGGACGGCAGAACTTTTAAAAACAATGGCGGACAGTGAAGCGGGAGCTGTCGGAGAGGACTGTGCATATAAATGTAAGTATAAACTTGAAAACTGTTAGGTTAAGGACTTTTTTTGTGATACATGAACTCGGCTCGTATGTTCGGCCGCTCGGTGTCGTACTTCTCCCGCTACGTTTTCCCCGATTTTAATAGGAGTTTGTATTTTAGGAACAAAAGAGAAAACCAGGGAATGTATTAAGCTTAGGGCGGAGATGGACCACATGATCACTGGAGCAAAGTATTCGACGGCTGTGGCATGGAGGTACAATAACATCTCATATTTTAAAAACTGTCGTTTGAGTTTATTTTTTTCTGCGAAAACATGAAAGGAATAACCCGTTGTCCTCTTTTCTCTTCCTGTTGTTTTTCTTACATGTTTGTTAAGACTATTCTGGGGAAAATGGGCATCCAGGGGAAGGTGACAGCGATGACCAGCTTCTGGAGCTGATCAGGGAGGACATGAGGCTGCAGAGGGAGGCAGAGCAGCAGAGGGCACAGGAGAGAAGGAAGAGCTTTGACAGCTTTTTACTTTGCTAGAAAAAATGGTTAAGGAAGATTAAACATGTACATATAAAAGAAATATCTAAATAAAATCAGTTCTGCATGAAACTCTTGAATTTTATTTTTGTTTTCAAATGAGAATGGTTTAATATTACAGGGTGGGTCCGCTATATCCGCTGGGTCTGAAAAGGCTTAAAAGGTGATAAATCGGTTTTGGTCAAATGAAGACCGTTAGAAAGTATTAAAAACTATTATCACATCTTTGCTCAGGCTCAGCTTGTCGAAAGTATTTTCTCTGAATTAGCTCTCCAAAAGTCAAGGAAATGATTAAAGATCTCAATAAAACTTCGAGCTCCATCGTTTAAAGTTCCTTCTCCCTTCTGCTCAGCGGTTCCACGGTTGCTAGGCGACGGAACGTTCGCCGAGGGAGTGGCGGGAATTCATGAAGGCTAGGCCTGTCCAAATCCACAGCCGTTAACATCCGGTCTACCCGGCTGACGGAGGACCCAGCCCACGTCGGCCGAGTAGGCTGGGTCCTTGGAAGGATGCAGACCCTGAATTGAGACACAGCCATGCTCACAACGACATTGTGACATCATATGGTACCAGCTAACATTCTAGGGTACCTCTTAGCCAATAGCGATGGCAGATTTAAATTCAAATGCAGTGCAGAGTTTTTACCTGACAACGGCACAACACTGACAGTTTTAGGCAGAAAATTAACATTTGAACTAAAATGCACTAAAGTGTAAAACTATTGACGACACATGTCTGCAGCACGATTAGACACGCATTTATATAGTTTATCAGAAAAAAAGTTGATTTGGGGGTGACTTGCTCTTTAAGATCCCTCCTCTAACCTTTCGCCCCAAACAGGAAGTACTTTGTGATACTTTCTGTACAGTTTTTAAACTCTGAACCTCCCAGTCCTTTCTACTGAATGTTTTCATGAGCTGATCGACGTAATGCAAACCCATCCTTTCTTCCATAAATAAATACACTCTTATGTGTTAAAATAATAAATCACATGCTTTAAAAACAACAAATTAAAAGCACATTTCATGGTTTTAACACAATATTCCAGTGTAAGTTCGTTGTTAGGGTTAGTTACTTCAGCAAGGCTCATAGCAGAGCAGGAACACCACGAAAAAATAAAATAATTAATAAACAAACTTCAACATGAGAGGTTAGAAGCCTGTCAGGACAGACAGATGCTTCTTTTCCTTGTTCGACATGCACATAATTTGTATTTTCAAGAAATGGCTGAAAGAAAACGCAGCATTAATGATGGACATGACACAAACACGATGGAAATGAAAGAGTTGGCTCTCAGAAAGGCGAAGGCAAAGTTCAGTGCTAGGCAAAGACTAACAGACAAGAGGAGGAAACACAAACCCATCACAGGGTCTGAAGCTGCCCAGCACCATCAGAAAATCCAAAACGAGATTTATTTTTTTATAGAATTCCATCTAAATGAGTTTAATTTTCATTCAACCGCAGCTGGAAGAGCAGCTTCAGCCCCCATTTTCATGCAGATGACTTTTAGTTTTCAGAGGGGAAATATTAGTGGTAGCAGTAAGGTGGTCGGACCAGCAGGTGGCACTCTTCTCTTTGGTTTCACCCACAAAGCTGCGTGTGAGGGATGTGTCAGAGACAAACCGAAGGAAATGAAATCCTACAGGTGATGTGAGTGTTTATCCTTCCTGATCCACACAGACAGAATTATGAGTTAGTCTGCATTTCAGTAAGGAGCAGCGAGCAAACAGGCGTCTCTGATGGGTGGAAGTTGGCTCCACAGATGCAGAATTAGTTACTTTTTTATCATCTAAATCAGGGGTGCCCAATCCTGGTCCTCGAGGGCCAGTATCCTGCTTGTTTTACCTTTAACTCTCCTTCAGCACACCTGATTTCAATCAGCAGGTGACTAACAGGCTTCTGCAGAGCCTGATGAGCTGCTGCACAGGTGACTCGACCAGTTAATCAAGCGTGTTGGAGCAGAAAAACCACTAAACCTGCTGGATGCCAGCCCTCCAGGATCGGGACTGGGCCCCCCTGATCTAAATGATTTCTCTCTGCAACACTAAGTGTAAATGCTCTTGTAAGTGGAGGATACAGACTTACAGCTTAAGTTAGAAAACTTTACTTTTATGATATGATGCAAAATGTGTTGTGTTTAAGAACCAAACATGCAAAGTTTTCCTTTTTTTTTTACTTTTAACTGTTTTTTCCAACCAGAAATAAGCTTGGTAAATAATTTGGATTCATTAGAATACGCGTTTTAAGGTAACTGCATCAAATTTTGTTTGCTAAGCGTCTGCTAAAGGTGACTCGGTTAGCTCTTAAGGAGACTGGATTCAAACATCTATGAGAATATTTTCATCAGTTTTATCCAAGAAGCTGCTGTTGGGTTTTATATGTTCATATTTCTTATCATTGAGTTTTGATTCTGGTCTTTTGTGACCTGTTTGTCATCACATCAGCTTTTCTTAACTCCTGGATGCAGAAGCTTGAACCAATATGGAGTCCTCGGAGTGCCAGATGCAGGAAAAAAAATTTGATTAAGAAAATTCCTAATTTTTGTGAATTCTGCTCACAAATAGATAAAGACCGTGATTCTGTTATTGAAGATGTTGTGGGTGACTTTTTTAATAACCAGTGTTTACTTCTGAGCTCCGTACCCTCCCAGCTGCCCCGCGCCTGGGTTCAGTTTAATAAACCGAGGGAAAAAATGTCACCAGTCTTCTGTTTTTATTTCCACACCTGCCACCGCCAGGCTTTGTAACTTTCAGTGAGCAGAAATCCTGAATATGTACGTCCGTAATGACCAAATAATCTCAAATAAAAGTGTAAAAATCTAAAGTGTCACATGATACAACATGGTGAATTTGAGAGTTCTCATCCATGCATGAAATGTTTTCATGTTTATTTTGTCTGAAATTATGAAAAGTAAAAATGCATCTAATCATAACAGTTTTATGTAATTCTTCTATAACAAATGAGCTTTGAACACTTTTGCTGCAGTTACTTTCTGTTTGTGTCATTTTGATGTTTATTATAAAATTTATTTAGAAAAAATAAAGCATCGTTCATTTAAAGTTGTAATATGATAAAAGTAAAATAATTTCGTTTATCTAAGAGCTCCTTTGCTTGCCACAGCCAAGCTGCATGTTTTAATTTTTAATTTTTATTTTTTGTGGCCTTTAATTTTGTGAATAAAGTACAAACTTTATGATGAAATCTGAATTTTCTCGTCTGTGTCATGTGTTTGGTTCCGTGTTCTGCCGGTCAGATGTTTCTGCTTGTTCTGGTAGTTACCGGGAGGACCCCGCTGGTCCGACGGCGGGTCTGGCGGAGCCAGTGCCGTGCGAAGGCATGCCAGCGGTGAGTGGGGCGGCGGGGGGGAGGGGGTTGGTTAGGGGGCGCGGGGCTTTCGGGGCACGGGATCCCCCCCGAGGCCTCCTCTCCTTTATCCTGCTGAGTTGCAAAACAACAAGCACAACAAGGTCATTATTGGGAATCAGCGGGAAGCAGACATGTCAGCAACATTCGGTCGTAAAATTAAACATCATGCAGTTCATTCTCCGTCAGAAACGCCCAAAAAATAAGCATCTTCATTTATTTCACTGCAGCTTTTCTGTTCCGGCGCCACCAGAAAGGTCGTGCTCAGAGGCACCCACAAGGGGTGGTCAGGGGTGGCAAGCCCCCCCCCCCCCCCCCCCCCCCGTGAAACACTTCTAGAGGCACCACTGGTCCAGTAAACATGTGCAGCATTCCTTTATAAGAATGAAATAACCTGTTGCTTCTTAAACAAGTATGTGCTGCGTTCTCATCCAAATAGCAAAAATTCCCTTATTTTTAATAACATCACAAAATAAATACATATTTTTCATTTTTATTTGCAAAAATCTTGTTATTTTGTCCTTTCAAACCCTTTTAAACCCTTCCTGGCCACTTATGAGCTGAATGCAGCATTTGTCAGACACGATTATGTGTAATCACTCAGTAACTGCTCTTAAAGGTCACTTATGCTGCAGAGCAGCAGCCTTTAAAAAAGCTCAGACACGCATCTGAAAAAACTGAACGTGTCTGAGAGGATCGACTCATCCAACACGTAACTGGATCGATGAAGCTGCAGCCAACGAGCCACAAAACGACCTTTAACTGTTGGGTGACACTTTAATGGGTTCTTACTGGAGGACGGCATGCTGAGCTGCACCTTAAAGCTGTCCAGTTAAAAACCCTGACCTCCTGTAGCGTCTGCACTCAGAGTCTCGTCTCTAAAGTGAGTTGCAGCTCGCTCGCCGCCTCGCTGCATGAACGAAAGGCTCGTGAGGAGAGGATTTGTTTACGCTTGCCTTCACGTGTCTCTGGGAACTAATGATTTTGTTGACTATTTGCTTTCTCATAATTGGCCATTCAGACATTCCAGGCATTTCTCCGTAACCTCTTCAGCGCTCCGATTTCAGATCAAACATCCACTTTCTTCACAGTTGGCAGGAAGTATCAGCGAGCCACTTCAGCAGGAAAGAGCAGCTGAAAAGTTTGATCACATCAGCCTTTTTCAGGCTGAAATCTCGCCCTTTCGAGTTCCTTCCCCCCTCCCCACCAGAGAAGTCTTCAGCATTTATATCTTTGCTGCATCAAGAGGTATTGAAGTGACTCGGCCGCAGCCTCTACCTGTTGCTTATTAAACGGAGAAGTGGACTGGAATAAGTGGCGTTTACATAACCACCCACTGCCTTTTGTCTGCTTTTCATTTGACCACTCTCTCTTCCTCTCACAGCTTAAATGAGCTTCCATGTTCTCAGTGTTGTTGTCGGAGACCTACGGTTGGATGGAGTTCATTCATTTCCTCCTCCACTGGTAAACAAGCACATTGTCTAATTATGAGCCATCGCAATTAATGAGCACAAACACGTCTGTCTTAATAAGCCAAGAGTTTTAAAGGGCTTCACTCATCGCATCGGGAACGCCCGGATCGGAGGGTTAATGACCACAAAAGGACACGCGGGCGATAAACAACATGAACTCACCACGTCCGAGTCCACTCCTTTCTGCTCCAGCAGCAGGGGCTTCTCCTCCGTGATCTGTTGCTCCTTCATCCCTGCCATCGTGGACAGCAACCTGCAATCACCATGGCAACGTGCAGAAAAAAACACATCCAAGGTTACATTAATATTACATCATGCTAAGTACTTTCTGTGCTTCGAGCGATAAACAAAAATCAGCAGCATGTTGAGGAGAGTGATGAGACGTTTGTTGTTGAGGAAAGCAGAGCTCGCGTTGTAACGATGAGACCGGAAACAGGAGAGAAAACAGATTTCAACCTAATTAAATAAGAAATATAATCGAATCTTTTTCTTTTCACTTTGATTAAATATGATGATAGAATTAATATTAAAAATAAACCATGAAATTAAAAACATTTTCAGATTTAGTCAAAACAGATGTTACCCAGCGGTTTGTTCACAGAACGTTTTCAGGCCTCCGCCACGACTCAGATGTTGTCTTTGTTCATCCTTTACTGTAGTTTCACGGCAAAAAGGCGTTAAAAACACACAGAACCACGAGTGACAGCAGCAAAAATCCCCAAACGTTTGTGATTTGAACTACTCTTTAAAGGAGGTAGAAGTTTTAAAGGTGTGGTTCACTTGCAGTGATCTCCAGTGGTAATGAATGACATGTGAGTCATTCTCTGGGGAAAGAAGCAGAGATGGGCCTGTATCAGGAAGTAGAAGTCAGACGTCTCCTTTCTTTGGAGTGGCCAGGAATGGTCAGTTTTCACCTACATATCAGGAGATGCTGCTGCCCCAGTTACCTCCCCCTCCCACCTATCTGTCTCTAGAAGTCAGGTGAAGAGACAGCTGGAGAGACTGAACAGGAACAAGGCTGCAGGTCCGGATGGTGTCGGCCCCAGAGTACTGAAGGCCTGTGCAGAGCAGCTCTGTGGGATTCTGCAGCACCTCTTCAACCTCAGCCTGGCCCAGGAGAAGGTTCCAGTCCTGTGGAAGACATCCTGCCTTGTTCCAGTTCCAAACAAAACTCGCCCATCAGTCAATGACGACTACAGACCGGTTGCCCTGACATCCCACATCATGAAGGTCCTGGAGAGACTCCTGTTGGTCCACCTGAATAAGCAAACTAGAACATATCAGGACCCATTGCAGTTTGCTTATCGCCATGGAGCTGGAGTTGAAGATGCCGTCATCCAGCTGCTTCAACCAACCCACTGTCATCTGGACAAAGCAGGCAGCACTGTCAGGGTCATGTTCTTTGATTTCTCCAGTGCATTTAACACAATCCAGCCTGATGTACTTTGCCAGAAACTCCAGAAGACACAGGTGGGGGCCTCAACCATCGCCTGGATTAAAGACTACCTGACAAACAGACCACAGTTTGTGAGGCTGAAGAACTGCACATCAAACCAGGTGATCAGTAACATTGGAGCACCACAGGGCACTGTACTCTCACCATTCCTTTTCACCCTGTACACCTCAGACTTCCAGTACAAATCAGAGACCTGTCATCTACAGAAATACTCAGATGACTCTGCAGTTGTCGGGTGTATCAGAGATGGACATGGAAACAATCATCTGACCTTGAACGTGAACAAAACAAAGGAGATGATGTTAGACTTCAGAAGAAACAGGGTGGAGTCAAACACTGTTTCCATCATGGGAGAAGAAGTGGAGGTGGTTGAGGAATACAAACACCTTGGAGTTCACCTGGACAACAGACTGGACTGGAGAAAGAACAGCGAAGCCGTTTACGAGAAGAGACACAGCAGACTGCACTTCTCGAGGACGCTTAGGTCCTTCAATGTCTGTAGCAAGATGCTGCAGATCTTCTACAAGTCTGTTGTTGAGAGTGTAATCTCTTCAGCCATCGTCTGTTGGGGTAGCAGCATCAGAAGCAGGGACCTGAAAAGGCTCAACAGCCTAATAAAAAAGGCTGGTTCTGTTCTGGGGACGACTGTGGAACCGCTGGAGGAGATAATGCAAAGAAGGATTCTCCTGAGAATCAAGAAAATGATGGACAACCCTGAGCGTTCTCTTCACAAGACTGTCCGACAACGGAAGAGTGTCTTCAGTCAGAGGCTTCTTCAGTTTGGCTGCAACACTGACCGCTACTGGAGATCCTTCCTGCCAACAGCCATTGTAATATACAACAACTCTTTGATGATTATTATTATTATTATTATTATTATTATTATGAGCTACTACAGCCATCAGTTTCCCTCTGGGATTAATAAAGTATTTTTGAATTGAATTGAATTGAATTGAATACCGACCTACATGCCACCGGTCATCTACGGACCTAATTCCATCCTCTGAGGTGGATTTTACATTCTATCTTCCAACAAGCCACAAGATTCTGCAAACCTTGTTGGCATTTCAGGAGCGTGTGTTCCCAAACAAAGCTTTCTTGTGATAACACTGCAGGATTGCTCACTCTCATGAAAAACATAAGTTACAGCTCATAAATTAAATAATCATTAAATAATAATATGGTTGAATGAACGAATGTTATATGAATACTAATGAAATGTTTTGATTAATCTGTGCTTAAATAACTGTGGTTGAAATAAAAAAAATTTTATTACAATGAAAAATTTTGGTGTTATGATCAGTAATGTTTGATTTAACAAGTGAATCATTATCTACAGTCAGACACAACGTTCATTAGAGATAAATTAAAGTTAAAGTAGCGTCACTGCACGTAGATATTTTCTTACCCATAAATCAGAGCGTCCTGTATCTGAGAAGGCGTGATGTTCTGAGGTTCGTTGTGAACACCCCTTAACACGGCACGTCCCGATTGGCCAAGTAAATCATAACATGAGAACATTAAAACAGGATCACTTGCGGAGTGATTCAGCATTCTGTTAGTTGAGCGAACTCTGACTGGCCATCAGAGGAAAACTCTGCTCTCATCGCACTTCTTGACAAGCTGTCAAAAACCTGTTACAACCTGCAGCTGACACAGCAAGACGGTTCCTTCAGCTGTTCAGAAACGGCTGCTCTAGACGCAAACTACCGTAGTTCCAACCTGTGTGCCTGGCGACATCTCTGGACTGGAGCATCGGTGCTGCGGTTAATCCACTGAACCTCGGTGCCCAGAGGTCATCTGACCTCCGGATCTGCGAAGAGGGTCTCCAAAGAAAGGGTGAGGTAGACACAGCATGATTGCGTCTGATGCCGTTTTGATAAGAACCAACTTCATAGTTCAATGCAAACCAAATTCTTTTCACACCCAGAACTCAGTTCTTCTAGATACAAGGTTCTGATAAACAGACACCATTCAATCACCAAACATCACATCCCATCCTCTTAGATTCATCCATCACAATAGTCTTAGTTAACTTGTCATGTTTTTAATTGTTTAGAAAATAAATTCTTACTTTTATAAACTTGACTCTGTCTGAATTGATACGAAGTGTGTTTGATTCCTGAAAAAGCAAAGAATCCTAGAATCTTCTGATTGAACATCTAAAGACCAAGCAGGTTGATATTCTATATTTATATAGAATATCACAGCTGACGGGTACCGGCGGTCCAAGTGGAACGCGGCTCGGGTGGTCGCCGAGGCAAAAACCCGGGCATGGGAGGAGTTTGGTGACCATGGAGCAAGACTTCCGTATGGCTTCAAGGAGATTCTGGTCCATCATCCGGCGCCTCGGGGGGGAAGCAGTGCGCTACCAACACTATCTATAGTGGGGACGGTGTGCTGCTGACCTCTACTCAGGACGTTGTGGATCGGTGGGCAGAATACTTCGAGGACCTCCTCAATCCCACCGACACGTCTTCCAGTGAGGAAGCAGAGTCTGGGGACTTTGGGTTGGCCTCTCAAATCTCTGGTGCTGAGGTCACTGAGGTGGTTAAAAAGCTCCTCTGTGGCAAGGCTCCAGGGGTGGATGAGATCCACCCAGAGTTCCTTAAGGCTCTGGATGTTGTGGGGCTGTGTTGGCTGACGCGGCTCTGCAATATCGCGTGGACATCGGGGCAGTCCCACTGGACTGGCAGACCGGGGTGGTGGTCCCCTTATTTAAAAAGGGGGACCGCAGGGTGTGTTCCAACTACAGGGGGATCACACTCCTGAGCCTTCCTGGTAAGGTCTATTCAGGGGTTCTGGAGAGGAGGGTCCGTCGGATTGTTGAACCTCAGATTCAGGAGGAGCAATGTGGTTTTTGTCCTGGCCGTGGAACACTGGACCAGCTCTATACCCTTAGGGGGATCCTGGAGGGTGTGTGGGAATTTGCCCAACCAGTCTACATGTGTTTTGTGGATTTGGAGAAGGCGTTTGACCGCGTCCCTCGGGGGGCCCTGTGGGGGGTACTCCGGGAGTATGGGGTACCAGGCCCTCTGATATGGGCTGTTAGGTCCCTGTATGACCGGTGTCAGAGCTTGGTCCGCATTGCCAGCAGTAAGTCGGACTCGTTCCAAAGTGAGAGATGGACTCCGCCAAGGCTGCCCTTTGTCACCGATTCTGTTCATAACCGTTATGGACAGGATTTCTAGGAGCAGCCAAGGTGTGGAGGGCATCCGTTTTGGTGGCCTGAGGATCAGGTCTCTGCTTTTTGCAGATGATGTGGTCCTGTTGGCTTCATCAGAACGTGATCTTCAGCTTTCGCTGGAGCGGTTCGCAGCCGAGTGCAAAGCAGCTGGGATGAGAATCAGCTCCTCTAAATCTGAGACCATGGTCTTGATTCGGAAAAGGGTAGAATGCCTTCTCTGGGTCAGGGATGAGGTCCTGCCCCAAGTGGAGGAGTTTAAGTATCTCGGGGTCTTGTTCAGGAGTGAGGGCAAACTGGAGCGTGAGATCGATAGGAGGATTGGTGCTGCATCTGCAGTGATGCTGGCGTTGTACCGGTCTGTCGTGGTGAAGAGAGAGCTGAGTCAGAAGGCGAAGCTCTCGATTTACCGGTCCATCTACGTTCCTACCCTCACCTATGGTCACGAGCTTTGGGTAGTGACCGAAAGAACGAGATTGCGGATACAAGCGGCTGAAATGAGTTTCCTCCGAAGAGTGGCTGGGCTCTCCCTTAGAGATAGGGTGAGAAGCTCGGTCATCCTGGAGGGGCTCGGAGTAGACCCGCTGCTCCTCCACATCGAGAGGAGCCAGTTGAGGTGGCTCGGGCATCTGGTTAGGATGCCTCCTGGATGCCTCCCTGGTGAGGTTTTCCGGGCACGTCCAACCGGGAGGAGACCTAAAGGTAGACCCAGGACACGGTGGAGGGACTACGTCTCTCACCTGGCCAGGGAACGCCTTGGGATTCCCCCGGA